AATAATTCACTCAAATGACTTATGTATTTCACAAAAAGACCATCCTTATGATAACAGACTAAATATAACCAAAAAGGACACAAATGAAGAGATGCATGGGGTAAGGTCTAGGAGGGTCCCAGGGTAGAGCTGCTATGCCCCCAGGACATGCTATCCTCCATATGGATAGATGTTTCTCACCAACCAGGAAGCTCCCCTAAGCTTCCAACACTGGTGTTTGTATTGACCAGTCCGGAATGAAAGTAAATTGTGCCTCAGGAGGTTAGCATCAGGTCATTGGTGGTCTCTCTAATCTTACCCACCCTCACTCATTCACCTCAGCTGCAGTCCGACTCTCAGGAACCATGAACAAAGGCAAAATTGCTTTCTGTAAATGGTTCATCACCTCACACTTCGCAATTTTGAAACTACGTATATTTTAATATTCAGCAAGTACTGTATTACAGATAACAGACAAAAAAATAACACAAAAAGTAAGGCAAAATGGAAAATAAACGTCATGGTGTTGGACTGGAATCAGAAATGAGTATAATTTTGTGGTATCTTAATATATACAAGTACATATGTAGATACAAATACGTTTTTTCGTACATGTATACACCTCTTAATGTCCAGAACACGTTCAGCGAAATAGGACATGATGTGACTTCGGCGTTGTTCAAACGCTATATTATACATAGGGAAGAAGTGTGTAGAATAGTCACCAGTTGGGCTCAGGACCTGTACCACTGCTGCGCCAAAAGACTACACAAGAACTTTGGCTCCACCATCACAGCTCCTGTATGGTCGATGCCCAGTCTCCAAGTTGCACCTGGCCCCCGCCAGCCAGGCCACTGGGGCTCACACACGTCATCCAGCCAGCCGCGTCCTAACCCAGCCGTGCTGCCAGCTCCCTTCACTTCCTTCCTCCCTGCCTTTCTTGTCCCCCCGTGGGCTTTAAACTGTTCCAGCACTGTCTCCTCCACCTCCTCCTAAGCCGCATCCCCTGCTCCTCCTGCTACCACTGCAGCCCGTACCATGCAGCAGCTACTACAGCAAAAGTAGCTGTGACCTTGGGGCCCAGACATCACACGCAGAGCACATGGGCAAGGAGAACATGGTCCCTGCCTGAGGCAAACACAGTGGTACAGGCAGCCATAGATGGGTGCCAGGACCCCTCTCTTTGCTGCCCCAGAGCCATGGGAGACCTGGGACCCGGAGAGGTAGTGAGAAACTGATCAGGATCTTCCTACTTAGCAAAATACGTACACATCTAGTTCTTCGACTGGAATAATCTTATGGGACCACAAACATATATGCAGTTAACACGTTGCCAGCACAAATGTTAAGAAACACATACCTATACATTCACACATAAATATTTAACTCTTTGTAAACTGAGGACCCAACAGCAATAAGTATACCTGATACCGAGATATTTGTTTCTAAATATCATTATCTAATAAAAGGAACCAGTATTTCTTGGAGAAAAGTCTGGTTCCACTGCTCGAGCAGAAAAAAAGACAAAATGAGTCTTGAACAGTGGCAGAAATGGAGACATCACAAAAAAATATAGGTATCTACTTAACAAAGCTTCTAATAACCAAATGTGGAATATATTTTTTTAAAAAAAAGTCATATGGATTTGCCTATACGGGCGATCATAAGTTACTAACATCTGACTTATATACAACGCATAATCATGAACCCACCACCACAAAGCCTATTACCAATGAAGAGCCCCTCCTGCAAGAACTCAAGCCCCACATGCCTTGTCCACTGGTGATGCAGCGTCAGCCCGCTGCTCATTCTTACTGTTCGGAGCTGAGCGGAGGCTGGCGCCCCCTGCAAGGTCAGGTACAGAGCCATGCAGGGGTGAGAGGTCCATTGCCAGCACTCCCCCCACACACTATGGTGGGGGTTCACATGTGCAGTGCCTAAGAGGGCGGCCTCCCAATGAAGAGGCAATGGTTGTAATCACAAATGTGCACAACTTTGTGATGTGCATCAAAACACTGTTACTGTTATTAACGTAATACGTTAACACTGTCTTACTGTATCTGGAAGTGTTTCTTTAAAAAATTTTATGCACTATACACTATACTCGAAAAAACACTCAACTGACATTACATACAATCATACCTATCGCGATATATGTACAAATTCAACTTAAAAACATACTTAGAAAAGGAACGCCTTTGTAATCTGTGGACTGCCTATGCTATTATAAACAATTAAATAAAAAGGAGAAATGGAAAAGGTATTTTTTGCAGTATTCCCGATCAATAAACATAGAAGAAATGAAACAGAAAATGCCATTTGGTAAACACCAAAATAATAATAGCACTGAATAATTATATATGGATACTAAAATTAGTAACCCAAAGTACAATGAAAAACAGAACATTTGCGGTATCGCTACATGAGTTACTAATTGTAAAAGATAAAATAATTTACAAGAGGAGACAACAGAAAATAAAATATTCTTAACCAAATACACAACAAGTGTATTTAATTGTTCACAAAATAACATCAATAACAACGTTAAAAAATATAAAACCATACTTGCTCAAGGCTATTCCCTGCAGCCTTATTTGTAACAACAAAAACTTTAAGAAAGGTAGAATTTAGCTTGGACTGAGAAACTACCAAACACTGATGAGGACAACCCCACCGTTACAATGAAACTGTCATTTCTTCCAAAGGCACAAATTAGCTTTAATTATCCCTTCGAGTTAGTATTGATTTCCTACTTACTAAGAAACTTTGTTCTTTATTCATAGACTCAAAAATTTGTTGTTCGAAATGAGTAACAGTAACGATGAAACATTCCATTTTTAACATAAGAGTAATCAAACCATTTAGAGTTCTCATATGTGAAGTGAGGTGTGAGGAACAACTAAAGTCTTTCCACATCGCTTACATTCATAAAGCCTTTCTCCACTGTGAGTATGAGATCTGACTAAAGGCTTTCCACACTCCTTACATTCATAAGGCCTCTCTCCACTGTGAGTTTTTATACATGTTAAGGGTAGAGGAATAACTATAGGTTTTCTCACATTCCTCACACTCATAAGGTATCTCTCTACTGTGAGTTCTTTTACGCATAGTGAGGGCTGAAGAATAACTAAAGGCTCTTCCACATTTTTTACATTCATAAGGCTTCACTCTATCATAAGTTCTTATATGTGCATAGTGAGGGCTGAGGAATAACTAAAGGCTTTCCCACATTCTTTATATTCATAAGGTTTCTCCCCATTGTGAGTTCTTTTATGCATAGTGAGAGCTGCAGAACAACTAAAGGCTTTCCCACATTCCTTACACTCTTAAGGCCTCTGTCCACCGTTGAGTTCTTATATGGATAGTGAGGACTGAGGCCTAATTAAAGGCTTTCCCACATTACTTACATTCATAAGGTTTCTCTCCACTGTGAGTTCTTATGTGTAGTGAGGGATGAGGAACAATGAAAGGCTTTCCCGCATTCTTTACATTCATAAGTCCTCTCTCCACTGTGAGTTCTAATACGTACAGTGGATTCTGAGAAACTAAAGGTTTTCCCACATTCCTCACATTCATAAGGCTTATCTTCTTAGGAAATATTTTATGTAAAATGAGGGATAAAGGATTACAGGTTTTACAGCATTCTTTACATGCATGCTTATGACCTTTCACGTGTCCAAAAGGATAAGAAACTACAGAAATCTTTCCCACATTTGTTACAGTCACAGCGTTTCTCACCAGTCAATGTTGTCACAGGATTCTTAAGGGTTGACATACAAATGAAGTCCTTCCCACATACCTTACATTTATGGGGTTTCTTTCTATGAAGAATTCTCAAAGGAGAAGTTAGGTGAGAGGAAGAACTGCAGGATTCTCCACATTCCTTACACTGACACTGCATCTGGTGGAAGATCCGATATGATGGTTATATGATGAGTGAGCCATGAAGACTTTTCATTACTCTGAGCATTCAAAAGGATTTCAGGAAGATTTCTTTTGAGCCCAGTAAGATCTGGAGTCCAGCTGAAGGTTTTCCAACACTGAGCTCACTCATTACTTTCACAGAGGTTGTCTACTGTATGACTTCTGTTCAAAATAGGGAACACATGGTGTTGGAAATAAATTTGTTCCCATTTTCACCATTACCAAACACAGTGAACATGCATGGTTTTTGCCCTGACTTGTCTCATGTCTCCTATGTTAAATCATCTAGCAGAAATACCACCATTACCGTCACTGAATTTCTAAAATATTTGAGGCTTTTTAATAATTGTGCCCAAGTAAGGTATGTTTCAAATACTCTATATCTGACTCATGTATTTGAATATGCTTCTTATATTATGCAAATTCTCTAAACACATACATCTCCACCTATGTTTACATACATAAACTTGTGTGTGTACACCTTCTCCTCGTTAATCAATATGGGTAGGTTCCAAAGATCAGGTTGTTATGCAAAATTGGCATTATGCAAAACTGAACGATGACATTAGATCCAAAAATGAAGGATAACAACATTACATAACGGCCAAATTACATCATTACATAAAGGACAAACCAGTGAGAATCATGGTCCGGTCAAGTTGACATACAATCTTAACCATCACAACCAGCATTCCTTATGCCTCGCATCTCAACATTCATTACTGCCAAACATACGTCATTAATGCTCAAAATACTTGGACAGCAGATTTTTTTTACTACTGTCATAAATACAAAACGCTGGATAAAGAGATAGTCAAAAGTGAGAAGCTGTATCTATTATTATGTCAAGGCTTCGAAATGGACCTAAGAATTCAGGAATTGCCAACATAAACGAGGGTAGCATATACATTGCATAGAAACCAAATCTGTTGCCCATCCAATTTTAACATGAGTAGGAAACAAACAGCGGTGCCCTGCTCCAAGATGGCAGCCAACTACATCACTCTGAATGTGTATCTCTTCCACGGTCCTGCCAATAATCCAATCTGAAAGTTTCAGGAGCATGATGTGGGAAATTGGATTACTGGCAGGACTGTGGAGAGTGACACATATTCAAAGTGGCACAAATGGCTGCCATCTTTGAGTAGGGCACTGCTGTTTCCTACTTGGGTCAAAATCTGACAGACAACAGATATGGTTCCTATGCAATGCATACGCTGCCCTCATTACGTTGGCAATTACTGAACTGTTACAAACTGACTAAAAGTGCTAATATACATACATAAATATATATTTGTGTACTTCAACGTCACGACACATTAGGTCTTTCCCTGAGGCACTGTTTTTTCTTGTTTGAATTATACTCATCTCAAATGTCTCTCCTGGTTTTCATGGCGATCTATATTGCCATGCAATTTGTAGACTTTTCCTAATACAGGCAACCAGGTGTTATTCTCTATGTATTGCAACATTATATGTTCACTGTATAACTTTTCTCCATCACTAAGCTTTTGGGAGACTGACCAAATATTCAAGTTGAGATTCACAATATGAAACAAAAAAGAAAGGAATCATTAGCGGAAAAAGGATGCTGTGAACAAAAGACAGCCACATTTCACTGTTTTAGCACATTCGCACTGGTTAAAAAGCAATTTACTAGGAAATAATTCCATGAGGACAGAGTGATGGTAACATAAATAGCTGTAGTTAGGACAACCAAGAAGGAAGATATTGGATACAATACACATGTAACATCCAAAGAAGAAAACGGTCTCCATGACCACAGGTGTGAGAAAATTGCTCAAGTCAGAAAAGCTCTGGTATCTGTGAAGTTTTGTCCACGACTCAAAAGAGAATTTTTCTAGCTGACTAATTCAAATGTAATTCCATCCATACAGGGCTGGTCCTTCCAAAAATTCCTGCTTTCCTGGTGTTTCCCGACACAGTGGCCCTGGATGGGTCCGATTTCCACTGTCCTCAGATCTTTCCCTTGCTTCTCTGGGAAAACAAACAGGTATAGCTGACATGGTGCTCATGAAGAAATGCCTATCGTGAGGGAAAACAGTGAAGAGCAGTGAACATTTCCTTAAAACTGAGGCAATACTTTGCTCTTCAGGGTCTCTGAAAATGTTCAGGTGTGAGTTTATTTGCAGCAAAATAATCATGTCAAACTTGTAATAAATACAGTAAAACTCTACAAGGTCCCAAACCACATATCTCTCAATGTCCCACAGTAACCCTGAAGCCAGTGCTTACACTTACAACACTTAGAGAGCCTCGGGGCTTTTTATCACAAAAGAAACGAAAACTCATTTTAACATATAGAGCTTTATGTTCATAGGAAAGCCAGGATATGTAAGCTCCACAGACGAAGGGACCACGCCTGTTTCATTTGCTCAAATACTGGAGCAAAATCAATGAGTTAAATATTTTTGTTCAGTAAATAAATAAAAAACAAAAGATGCTATTCTTACCTATTTAAGCCAGGTTTCTGAAGGTTTCTATCATCACATCTCTGTAGAGTTTCCTCTCAGCAAGATCCAGCAAAGCCCACTCTTCCTGGCTAAAGTCCATGGCCACATCTTCAAAGACCACTGAGTCATAAAACATTCCATACATTATGGATCAGCAAGGTACCATGTACTTCAATTATGTACAAGAATGTAGAGTGACGCTGATAGCCCTGGGGAACTGAGAATTCAAAGGGATTTGACACAAAGTTCTGTGTTCCACCAAGGTTTACCCTTGGGTATAGCCATCAGCCTTATCCCTTCACTAACTACATTCACTTCCTCACTTATTGCATCCTGTCTCATACACTTTCAACAAACAGAAATGATCTCTCTAAGGTTTTCGACCCACTGCAGGCTTACTCCTCTCTTTATGGCCTAGAACAGTTAGAAAACAGCAAAAATTAGAGAAATACGTTCATTCAGATCATCGCTTCCTTGTGAAAAAACAATTACACCTCCTTCCATAAGACCCACCAGAACACTCAACAAACATAAAACAAAGGGTGAACGCAAGACGAGGTATTAACAACTGGGAAACGCTGCAGAATGGCAGCTTTTCATTTTGCCACTCACAGCCACAGGAGGACCAAGAGCCCGCAGAAACTGGCAACCCAAGGCCCTGAGCTGGTCATATTTTCTTGAACTCTAGGAGATCAGAAGATGACAGGTTCACTTTCTGAAAAAAGAATATTCTTTTGCAGAATTATGAATTTTTACATGTCAGTCACCTATTTTTTGAAAAAATCGCTCTGTTATGTTCTGTCCTTTTCAGAAACAGGCAAAGGTAACAGAAGTTTAAAGAGCTCCGATGAGACAGGAAACAGGAGAATCCAGATCGCCACACAATTCTCAAATTTCAAGACCGGATGCAACTGTACATCAATTATTAGTGACTGTTTCCTCAAACTCATACATCCTCACATAAAGTCTACTGTTATGACAAAGAGTACTACCTCTGCATAAACAAGAACAGCATGCCCTTCTGTTTGCTAACCGGAAAGAGACTGTTTCCATCCTATAATGATTGCACAACATGATAAACATAATGTGACCAAGTTATACATGTAAACACTACTGAACTGGCGAATATTTTGTTACGTATGATTTCTACCACAAAAACAACTTCGTAAGTTGAAGTGTGGAGAGTTTACCTATTAAATTGCCTGCGAAGCCTAGGAAACAAAGACTTGCACATCAGCCCTCTAGAGGCTCCATTCCAGAATTCTCTCTTATTTGTAGCCCCTGGAAGTCACCCAACCATGACTACCTGAACCCCGACCAGTCGAATCCCCTGATCTGTAAGAGCGACCTCTGTGAAATAGCACCAATTCCTTGGCTTCCTCATGTCCTGCGGAAAACAAAGGCTGTAAAACAGAACAGTTTTAGAGTAAGAACACTCCTCATGTTAGGGAAGGGGTGACGTGAGCAGTGTATGTGATTTCTTATCAATCCAGGTGTGATGGGATCACAACAAACTCTTGAGCTAGAGCCAAATCCAAACGTCTCCTCCAGTGCAGCGGGCGAGGATCAAAACCCTAACGTTCATTAAACAAAGATAATAAAATTTTCCATGTACTGAGCAAGTATGATTTGTGAAAAGTTTCGCAGAACAATTTGCAACACATTAGCTCATTTATACCTCATAAGCCTCCTAAGTAGATATTTCAAACATTTTCTCGTTGAGTAAAGTTAGAGACAATCACATGCTCAATGTTGCCCACGTGGAATGCTGAGCCACGGTCAGGAGGAAGATCAGTTTGTCTTTGAAGGCTAAATTCCTAACAAATCCATTTCTGTTCATACGAATAGTTTTGTTGTTATCCTCGCTGTTATTCTCCAGCAACACCATGGATGATTTAGAGTCCTGCTGGATACTAGGGAGAAGAGACAAAAGAAACATCCTATTCAATTCACACAACCCGAGCTACTTCTGGCAAAGTCCTGTGTCTTGGACAAAACTTCTTCCCTTCAGACTCTTAACTGTGACTCCCTTCATTTATGAAAATTCATTTAGTTAATACTGACACACAGCCTACTTCATGTTGAAAAAGCAAATACAGCAATAAACAAAACAGAAACATCCAGATGAATATGGATAGTAACTTCTTTAAGTGTACACAGTAAACATATATATGTATATTCAAGCGGCAATACGTTCTACAGAAAATGCAGCACAGTAAGAGAATAAACAAGTAACACAACCAAGTTTATCTTTAGTAAAGTAGCACAGGGAGCAAAGTAATCATTTTAGAAAACATTAACTAGTGAAACCTGGCTTGGTAAGAGAAAAAAAGCACTTTCCATTCTGAAAAAACTGGAAGCAGACTATGATGATTCTAGAAACACTCATATACATTTCACATGCTCGTCAACCTCAACAAATCCCAACGCGGAGGTACAAGAGCCAAAGGGCTCCACTAACCTTCGTGCCCAGGAAGGGAAAGATATCTTGCTTATATCCAAGGAAAAAAAAAGTCATTAGCAGTAGGCTAAACATGTGACTTCGCAAAATGGGAAAAACAAAAGCAGCATAAGTGAGTATTGTAAAGAAAGTAACATAAAAGATAAAGACAACAGTAATGACACAAAACACAAAGGCTTCCAGTTTCTGATCCGATATATAAGGAGCTTGGAAGTTATCACTTCCATCCTCACAAGAAAAAAATCTGAATATCCAAAACTCAGAACATTGAAGACACAATTGCTTCCCCAAAACTGGAGAGCCGCATAAGCAGCTACAGAGAATCATACCAGAGCAAAAACCTAGGAGCAGAACCCACCTCTACGATCAGCATCAGCATAGGAAAACTTAAAATGCAACTGATGAATTGCTGGAAGGTCACTGCGGACAAATTCCGGGTTAAAAATGCTGGGGGGCCCAAACTTAGGTGAATCCACAGAGTTTTGTTGAGTTTTACCTGCAAGAACCCTATCAGGTCCTCAGTGTGACCATCAGAGAAAAATTTCCTAGTGCTTCCTTCCAGTAGGGGGAAGAGGAAAAGCAGCCATTTCAAAAATTTCCCAGAGAATTCTGTTCTCCCTAACAAGGTCTCCCTCAAAAGAATTCACTTTACCAGAGTCTACCTGACCTGCGGTAGTGAAACACCCAACTTCAGCCTCATCTAGGCTTCCTGTCTCATGAAAGTGGGTGAGGGGAGAAGAGAGGAGCACTTGTAGGCTCCCTGCCCAGGGCACAGACTCACTAAGTCTGACAATCATTGGACCATCTCAGGCTTCCCTTTTGCCCTCATCTTACCTCTTCATCCATAGCGCTCTTACATAATAACAAGATTACAACAGAAAAGAACTATCAGTCTCAGACCTGATTTAAGAAGTATCTCAACAACCCAAACACAACAAGAAAAAAAGCACATCAGAGCAACTGACAGCTACAACAAACAATAAACACCGCCCAGCGTCTAGCTAGAAAAAAATAAAACCTCGTAACAAAGGCCTATTTATTCACCTCAGTTCCTTCTACTTAGTATATAATAATCCCAGCCTTTCAACAAAAACCCACTAGGCATACTAAAGACAAAGGCACAGCTTGAAGAGACAGTGCAAACATCAAAATCAGTCTAAAATATAGCAGATATTTCGTAATCATCAAACCAAAAATTCCAAATTACATGGTTTATTAACATGCTACAAATGCCAATAATATAGCATATGTAACAACACATAAAGAAATAGAAACTGTAACAAAGAAATCAAATGAATTGCTAAAAATCAACTGTCAGTAACAGAAATGAAAAGTGCCTTTAACAAATTCCTCAAATGACAGGACAAAGCCAAAGAAAGAAGCAGTGAGCTTGAGGGTGTGTTAATAAACACTCAAAACTGAAATGCAAAGAGAAAAAAAGAATGAAAAAAATGGAACAGAATATTCAAAAACTGTGGGACAATTAGTAAAAGAGAGTCATCCACGTATTGAGAATACCAGAAAGGAAAGACAACAGAAACAAAAAGAAGAGCTATTTGAGGTAACGATGACTGAGAAATTTAGAAAATCTATGATGCACACCAAACGAAAGACCCAGGAAGTTCAGGAAATACCCAGCAAGATAGATAGCAAACTACACCTAGTGATGGGAAAGAGAGGGAACTGCACAAAATCTAAGAGAAAACACTGTAAGAAACCAGAGTGGGGAAAAATCACCTATTGAAACGCACTGTTAAGAATTACATCAGATTTGTCTTAAACAACCATGAAGACAAGGGAAGACTGGAATGAAACATTTAGTGTTCGTTGAGAGAGGAAAAAAAAAAAAAGACGACTAAACTAGAATTCTGTATCTAGCAAAATAAACCTTCAAAAGAGAAGGAGAAAAATGGAAAATAACAAGTGTTGGCAAATATGTGGAGAAACAAACCATCATCTATTGCTGGTGGAAACGTAAAATGGTACAGCTGTACAACTACTATGGAAAAGTTTGGCAGTTCCTCCGAAAGTTCACTATAGAACTACAATATGACCCAGCAATCCCACTCCTAGGCAAATACACAAAAGAATTAAGAACAGAAATCTGTACGCCAATATTCATTGCAGCAATATTCACAATAGCCAAAACATGGAAACAACCTAAATGCCCATCAACAGATGAATGGATGAAAAACATACAATCCAGCCACACAACGGAATATTGCTTAGCTATAAAAGAAATGAAATCCTGATAGATGCTACAGTATGGATGAACTTTGAAAACATTATGCTGAGTGAAATTAACTCAGTCTAAAAAAGACAAATACCACATGATCCAACTTCTACAAAATAGGCAAACGTATAGTGACCAAACTTACTAGTGATTACCAGGGGTGGGAAAGAGTGAGAAAAGAAGGTTCATTGCAGAGGGGGCACTGAGTTACTGCTACTGGTGGTGCAATAAAAAAGGAAAAGATAGTGGCAATAATTGCACAACACTTCAGAGTAATCAACTTCACTGTTATTGCTGTTGTTCTCAAGTTGCCATTCAGTCAATTATAACTCAAGGCGACCCCACATGTGCACAGTAGAACTGCTCCATAGAGTTTTCAAGGCTGTGACCCTTTGGAAGCAGATCAACAAGTCTGTCTTCCAAGGAGCCTGTAGCTGGATTTGAATAGCCAACCTTTCGGCTAGCAGTCAAGTGCTTAACCATTTTCACCACCCATTAGATTATACAAGTAAAAATTACTCAATAGGCAAATGCTTTGTTACATAGATTTTTATTACAATTAAAAATATACTTTAAAAAGGATGAAAGAGAAGGATGTTTCCATACAAATATGAGGAAAATTGGTGACCAGTATAACTTTCCTGCAAGAAATGGTAAAAGAAGTTCTTCATGGAAAAGAAAAATGATATGGATTAGAAACCCAGATCTACATTAAGAAGTACAGCCATAAAGCTCCTTAGAGGCAAGGATGGTGAGACCTTGTCTCACATACTTTGGACATGTTATCAGGAGGGGCCAGTCCCTGGAGAAGGATATCATGTTTGGTAAAGCAGAGGGTCAGCAGAAGAGAGGAAGACCGTCAAAGACATGGAGTGACACAGTGGCTGCAACAGTGGGTCAAGCTTAACGATTGTGATGATGGCACAAGATAGGTCAGTGTTTCATTCTATTGCACGTAAGATCACTATGAGTCTGAGCCAACAACAAAAACCCTGTATCTTTGGTTATAATCTCATTAATGAGGCAGTATTAGCACACGGAGTGTCTTGAGTAATCTCTTTTGAGATATATGAGGAGATTAAACAAGCAGCAAGAAAAAAGAGATGGAGGAAGACACATGCCATGGTACATGAAGATCACTAAGAGGCCAAGGAGGAAGAAGCTGAAAAGAGACAAGGACCTTACCCCAGAGTTGACAGAGAAAGCCTTCCACTATTGTTGGCGCCCTGAATTCAGACTTTTAGCCTCCTAAACTGTGAGAAAATAAATTTCTGTTTGTTAAAGCCACCCGCCTGTGGTATTTCTGTTATGGTAGCATTAGATCACCAAGGCAAATGGTGTGCCGACCACTCAGATGGGGAAGGCTACAAGGGGAGCACATTTTATGGAGAGGATGCAGAGGTTACTTACAGTATGTTGAGACCCAAATGAGAAAAGACATCAAAGAGAATGAGACACTATATTCCTATAAGAAAAGATTATGGAGCAATTAAAATGAATTAACAGCCATGGAAGAGTTATCCTAATGAGAATTTGAACCAAAGGGACTGACATAAAAAGTACACAAAGTATTATTCTATTTGTTTATACCATAAAAACCATCAAAAAGAAAAATACACTGATTCAGGGATGCATATACTGGAAAAAGTACAGCCAGAATGTGCCTTAGAAGTGAGGATGGTGAGACCACATCTCGCGTACTCTGGACATGTTATCAGGAGGGACCAGTCCCTGGAGAAGGACATCTTCCTTGGTAAACTAGAGGGTCAGCGAAACAGAGGAAGTCCCTTAACAACACGAAGTGACACAGTGGCTGCTACAATGCACTCAATCACAGCAACAATTGTTAGGATGGCACAGGACCGGGCAGTGTTTTGCTCTGTTGTACACAGGGTCACCAGGAGTTGCAACTGACTCGGCACCTAACAACCAGGGTCACATAACAACGTGTGTATACATTTTTTATGAGAAACTAACTTGAACTGTAAACTTTCACCTAAAGCACAATTTGAAAAGAAAGACATGAAAGAAAGAAAAGACCAAAGTGGATGTCAGAAAAGACTAAAAAACTTGCTCTTGAACATGAATAACTAAAGCAAAAGGAAGAAATGAGCTGAGCATAAGATTTCAAAGAACAGCTCGAGAAGACAAAAGTATCATAATGACATATGCAAAGACCTGGAGATAGAAAACCAAAAGGGAAGAACACGCTCAGTGTT